TTTGTCCTTTTATGCAAAGCCACCATGCTTGACTTGATGAAATAAAATGAGGTTACTCCCGTGTGATGGTTCACTTCCGTGTCAGCTTGAATGGATTAAGCACACGTGGTGAATCAGAGGAGCACAATACAAGTGTGTCTGGATGACTGACTTGTGAACTGCAAACACCAAGAACTGCCCTTGGATGTGGGTATCACCAACCAACGGGCTTGAGCCTGGATGGATGAATGCAAGGGAAACAAGGAAGTCTTCCCTTTTGCCTCTTTTGGGGAGTTTCATCCCGCTTCTCAGATTTCCTACACAGACCCTTGGCTTTCCAAAAGAGTTGTACTGGGCTTCTCTGAGAGCTTCAGGTCTCCAACTTTTTTCTGTCTTTTCCTTTTTTATTAAAATGTATTTGGTACAGGGTCTCACTATACAGCTCGGACTCAATCCTCCTGTTTTCAGCCTCCCCAGTGCTGGAATTACGTGTGTGCACCACTACACCCAGTCTCAGTGGCCGGCTCAGTTTGCCTGGGGGCGGGGCTGGTGCAGCACGTGGTGCTGGGGATCAAACCCTACCTCTGCTTGCCTAAGTAGGTGTATAGTCCGCTGAGCTATCTCACCGGCCCTTGGGCATTCAACTTTTGACAGGACATTACTGCTATCCAGTGTGTGGATGACCTTTTTGCATTCTTTCACCCTTGATGCTGTAGGAACCATTGTAAGCCTATTTGTAAATCTTTTATGTATCATTTATGTTTTATATTAAATCTGTTCCTCTAGTTAACTGTCATACACTCTGAGTCTTCATAGCTGGTCATGTACAAATATTTGTCTTTTTAAATTATATGTACCTAAAACATTTAAATCTTTTAAAATACTTGAGGGCCAGCCAAATAGTTTATCGGACTAAAGTGTCTGCAAGCCAGTGCAAGGGCTGGGGTTCAATTCCTGGGCGTGCCTTGCTGGCCCCACCCCCGAGGTGTACTGAGATGGCAATTGAGACTGGGCATGGTGGCGTGTGCCTGTAATCCCAGCACTGGGGAGGCTGTAAACAGGCGGATCACTACAAGTCTGATCTAGTAGTGAGACTCTGAATACCCTGTAGGCCCTTCCCTAAAAAATAAATAAAATACTTGAATTTAAAAAGATAAACACTCTCTGAAGACTGAGAACTGGTGAAAACTCAGACTCATCTAAATTCAAGTTTGCAACTTTAATTTTACCTATGAAAAGTGAACAAATGGTGGCAAAGACATTTAGTACATTTTTTTTTTTTTTTTTTTTGGTATTGCAGATAATGGGTATCTGTAACCTAGCATTTTAATGTTGACTTTAAAAGAAAATGCAGTTATATTGCCTCAGCAGCAGAAAGCGAGGTTATTGAGATTATAAAATAAGAGCTTGTGGATTAGCTGAGAAAAAGAAGTACATATGATATGAAGATTCAAAAAAGTGCTTAAACTTGTGCTCTTAAACTTGTACTAAATTAATATATTAAGATACTTGACATCATAAATGAGTGGGAGCTAACTTAAGTATTTTAAGTAAATAAAAAGATAAAATGAATTAGCTATTAAGCTGGTTCCCCAAAACTTGTTTTCACGAAGGAGGTGGCAAGAATGGAAGCCTGGTGAATCTGTCATTCTTCAAAATCTGAGATTAACTGTATTTAGGTCCCCAAACCATTTGATTATGAATAGGTGCCTCTCGTGTCTATAATTTTGTTTCTTTTCTTCATAGTACTAATCATTCCCTATTATCTTTTCATTTATTGATTGTTATAGCTTGTATCTAGATATTCCCCCAAAACTTCCAGTGTTCACAAGTAGAGAATTTGGGAGGTGGCCAAATCAAGGGTGTGTGATTCTGGATTGTGGGTGAGAGAAGTTATATTAGTCTGCTGATTGGTTTAGGACAGGTCTGGGTATGGATGATGGATTTACTGAAGAGGGAAGAACCACCTGGGCATGAGTGGTACCAACAAGTAGGCTTGTACCTTGGATGGATGAAAAAGGAAGGAAAAAGGAAGGCTTACTGTCTCCTGCCTACCTTGCCTCAAGCTTTCTCTTCTCTGCCATTTCACTCAGCCCTGCCACCCTGCCTTGGAGATAGACAACTATCTGAAATATCTACAAACTATGAGTCAAAATACTCCTTTGCTCCTTTAGCTTGTGGGTGTCAGGCATTTTGTCCCAGCAATGAAAATAAGGAAGACAGTGATTAAAATGTTTAGTCTATTTCTCTCATCAGAATGTAAGCTCAGTGAAAGAAGGGCCCTGTAGTTCTGTTCATAAGCAAAAGCATCCTGAATGTTGCTCAATGCCTCTCACATCAATATTCAGTAAAAATTAATCAGATATAGTGAATGAATAAGCAACTGGTAGACCCACTAAGCAGTGTACATTAATTATTTCTCACAACTTTGGGATCATGATCTTTTTTTGGGGGGTGGACAGCCTTCTGCTAACAGAAAAATGGCCTTTTTTCCCTGCCAATTCCTGAGTTTACTGTGATCCCTGGTGGTGAAATCTTCCACTGACTGACTAAACTAGTAGTAGAGGTGTAGTGATTAGCAACCTTTGTTTTCTGCAAAATTCTCAGGAGTGTATCTAACCATCTCCGTTACAGAGAAGACAGGGTCCACTGTATAGCTACTGCAGGAAGTATGGCACCATAGGGTCAATAAATCTAGTAAGAGGACAATTTGTCATTTTGAAGTAAGATTCTTTCTACTTTTACTCAGTTTGAAACCCTGCCATGGCTTGAGAGAATCCAAACTCTTTAGCATGGGTCATGAGTCCTTTCACAGTTGGGTTAGTTTCTTCTCCCAGGTCTGGTTTCTCCTTCAAGGTTCTAGCTGAAGCAAACGGTTTCCAGTTTCTTGAAAAAAACAGGCTCTTTCCTTCCTCAGAGATCCTGCTTACTCAGCTTCTGTGAGGGAAGTACTTTCATCCTGGTCCACGAAGGACTCACTGGCAGAGTCTGTGAAACCTTTTCTAGCACACTCCATGAGGAGATATCCTAAAACTCCACTTCCCACCACTCTTGCTTTTTTAAAACTCCAGACATTGACCTCAATGCAGATCCTCAAAATTCTCATTTTCATTGGACATGAATGACAAAAAAATTGTCCTTCCAGGCTTTTTCAGCACATTCCCAAGTTTATTCAGTTCGTTACTCAAACACCACTTCCTATGAAAGGTTATTTTTGACCACTATAACGAAAGAAATTCCTCCCCTTCTCATTTACCTAAATGAAACTATCTCTGCTCTAGCCCCATAACCTAGCTTACTTTTTCTTTGTAGTCCTGATCTGACATTATATGTTTAGTAATGAAACTTTTCCTTGCAGAATATAGCTATATTTCCATAATTCCTTTATCTAAAATTTTTTAGGTCTACATATCTTTTAATTTCAAAAGCATTTATTATTTAACACCTTAGGATCAATACTCTATCATCAAACATAATAATAGCTTTCAACAAAAATAAGTGAGCAGACTTATTATTTGTGATAAATAATGCTCAGGTCAGCTTTTGCTGTGAAGCAGGTTATCGAGGTAGTTTGAAGTCTGAGAGCCAGACACAGTGGGGGCACACCTGGAATCGCAGCACTTGGGAGCTGGAGGAAGAGGACTGCTGCAAGTTCTAGTTCAGCCTGGGCTACACAAGGTGTTCACGCCGAGCCCAAACAAGATACAGTGTCTTAAAAGAAGAAAAGAAATACCAAACAAAAAAACAGTATGGAATTTGGGAATTACAGATGAGACATGGTGATGTGCCTAAACACAAGTATCTGTGATGTAACTCTACCCTGAACCAGGTTCTACATATTCCAGAATGTTAGGAATCACTGATTTAATGGATTTAAGACATCTATTTTAAAATTACAGTTAACATAAATGAAGTGCTCTTTGTTACCCTCATACTAAGTTCTTTAAATGTAGATATGAATGATTATTTGCCCTGATTTATAGGAGAGAAAGTAGGACTTTGATAGAGGTTTAGTGGTTCATGTGCACAGCTAGTAACTGGCCAGTGAGGACTCAAACCAAACCTATTTCATGATAAAAAGCCATGTACTGGACTACCTAGCCATCCTAACTTCATATAGTACATGATAAAAGCTCTTCCCACTAAGTTTCTTGGTGAAGTGTAGTCTCAAGGAAGTATCCACATTCAAGCGGATGTGAAAAATCCTTAGGTTGTAAGTTCTTTGTTAAAAACAGACTAAGTATATATAGCCAACACTTAAATTATTTCCTCAGGTAAACCAATATTTTAGAAATTTGGAATGAGAGACAAAATTATTTCAGATCATTTATTATTTATTTATTTATTTTTGTATTTCAGTACAGGGTCTACAGGGTCACACTACATAGATTGGACTCGTAGTGAACGACCTGTGTTCAGCTCCCATGAGCTGGGATTACAGCCACCATTACCGCCCAGTCTCAATCACTGGCTCAGTGTGCCTGGGGGCAGGGCAGGCAAGGCATGCTGGAGATTGAACCCTGGCCACTGCATCTGCTTAAGCAGGTGCTTTAATCCACTGAGATATTTGGTCAGCCCTCAGATCATTTAAAAAACAGAGTTCCAGTAGTTTTCCTTTATAGAACAAACATCTTGATGGGTGTAAGAATGGAGGAAAAAGGTCAAAAGGCACCTAATATAGGTGATCTGGAAATAGTGGCTTTCTCAAGAATACCTTAGTTCCTTGAATTGCTTCAAGACAGGCAGAAGCTGATAAAATGTATTAGTTATGAACCAATTTTGAACTCCTTGGTAATCAAGTATATCAGTGATAGTCTGGCATTAAGGAGTCGGCTATATAAGAACAAAAAGCTAGATTAAAAAAAAACCAAAACTCTACATAGGATGTAGCTTTGACTGAAGACAGTCTTTGACTTTGCCACATTTATGGGAAAACCTCAAATCACAAAATGTAGAGTAGCAAAAACACAACACATGAAAACAAAGATTAAGAAATGAAAACAACACGTACACTAAAAACATCACAACAAGAACAGGCTTTATTTCACCCAGACAAGTAAATTCCTCAATTAACATCATCTTCTTCAAGATTTAAAGCGACAGAAACTAAAGATGGTGCTCAGAAGGCAGAGAAAGGACAATTCATCCTGGAGCAATTGCATTGCCCTTCAAAAATCCCTCCAATAATAACTCAGAAGACCATTCGAGCTCGAGTGTTTCAATCTGGGTACAAGACCTTTGTTTGAAAGTTAGTGGGATCTTTCAAAAAATTATATATAGGGAGATTAGTATCATAAATTAATTTTTAATTTTAGCAACTGGCATTGAAGTCCAGTTTTCAGTTTAAAATATTAAAAATGAAGAGGACATTATCATTATTAAGATGTGTTGTTACAAAGCTCCTAGGTACACACATATACAAAACCGATGGGTATAACTAGTTGTTATTTAAAATCATGATTTCTCCTACATCTGACAAGTAATTGAACTACTGGGAAATTTCTCCCAATAATTTCCAAACTTCTTGCACAATGATTTGTTGTCATTTATATGTATACACAAGGATATTTTATCACAGAATATTCCAATTTAACATAATGTAGCACAAAATAAATCCAATGAAACACTATATTTATAAAAAAGGATAAAATAAAATGGCAGGTAGTTTTAATTTTTTGCCAAACTCATTAAATTTATTAATATTTTTGAGTCTTCTCTTCATGGGCATTCTCGAGAGCTTTAAGTTGTATTTTTAATTTTGTAAGGAGTTGGTCAGCACCTTGATTGATATGGATAATTACATTAAAGTGAAGCTATGGGAAAGGCAGAGGGAATGCACTTGAGGAAATCGACAGGAGGACGGTTCTTTTCATCCCCTAAGACATTCATACGGAAAAGAAAGGATAAACAAACAAACAACAACAGTGCTCACAGTAAAACATGCCAGATTTGTAGTTTCATTGGAAACCAACAGTGAATCATGAAACGTCATGAAAAATATAATTAAAGTAAAATCTCCTAGAGTAATTACTAAATAAAGTTAAAATTATCACACTGATCAGTAAACCCCAGAAGAAAAATGAACAGCACTTACATTTCAGGTCCTTCTTAGGCATTAAACAAGTTTTCAAAGTTAATACATAATAAAATTGGTAGGTTTGGCCACGCTGCACAAAAATTTTTTTTTTTAAAAATACAGTATACAGAAAAACCTCTTATATTCCCCATTTTGAATCATATACTCAAAACCTAAGAATAAAAGATCAGCTAGAAGGATTTTCAGTTATTTACAAATCCAGCAGGTTCCGTCTGCCATAATGGCTTGGCTTCCACTCCACAGCAACTTCTGCCTTCTCCAGCAGCAGCTGTCAGCGCTCCGCACTCGCCTGAGGCTGCTCGGGCTACTGCTCATCTCGGCGGTCATCGGTCATCTTGAACAGTTCCAACAGTGCCCCAACAGCTCCAAAGTAGCCCTATAAAAAACAACAGAAATCTTCTATAGAACTGACTCTGAGCCAAAGACCTATTCTGTTTAACCATTCTAGCAGTACTGCCCCTTATTTTATAGAGGAAGAAGAAAATTAAAAACTGAATTCTCCAGCTGTAATATAGCTCAGTAATAGAGTACACGCTTAGCACAAGAGAGCTCCTGGGTTTAATCCCCAGGACCATGGATAAAACCAAACTAAAGCAAACAAACTCTTTGCTGTGAAACATGGTGAGAGACAGCAAGGCTCTTATCAATGCCTACTTGTTTATATATATTAAAATAAGTGAACACATGTAAAGAGCTTCGAATAGTATCTGACACATTTCTTAATGTGTACTAAGTAAATGCTAGCAATATACATCTTTGCCACGACAAAATTCATATTATTTCACAGATGAGAAACAAAAGGTAATAAAGTAAATTATTACTCTTTCAAGACTTGTGCCAGGGGTCAATATTCTGATCTGTTTAGTGGCAAGACAGTATGTCACTGCAGAAAGCCCTAAGCTTCTGTCAGTAGACTCAGGAAAGACTCTTAAGTCAGCCTCACTTTGCCCCTGTGTAGAAAAAGAAACCCCTGTTTCTGTGAAAATAAAATGAATCTCAGAAATTTAACTTGTATCTTAAGTCTGCTGGGTTTCTTATGCTAGGCGGCTTATAAACAATTAGAAATTTGTTTAGGTTCCTGGAGGCTGGGAAGACCAAGATCAAGGTATCTGCTGAGGGCTGCTTCTTCACAGACTGCTGTCTTTCTTGCCACAGTCTCACATGGCAGAAGAGGCAAGGTAGCTCCCTTGGGCCTCTTTTGCAGATTCCGTTTATAAAAGGTCAACTTCTGTGATCCAATCTCTTCCCTCATGCCCTTCCTCCTACTGTTGTCATCTTAGGGGTTAGGATTTCAACACATGAATTGGGATGCAAAGGGATGACACTCATATATTCAATCCACAGCAACCTGGTTTCTAAAAGTCTGGACACTGCGCTGCTCTGCTAGTTGCCTGACAGTTACTGCTGTGATGGCTATGGCTGTGGTAAGCTATGGCAGGACCTTTGCTGTGTGTTGCTATCAGGTGACATTTATTGAGGCCTCACTATATGTTAGAACTTTTCTAAGTATTTTACATGAATGTACTCATTTAATCTATGAGACATATTTTATCAGCCCATTTTAAAAAATGCTAAAATACAGTGAAAGTTATTATCTAAGATATCATACTCAACAAAAGGCTGTACTTTGAAACTTGTGGCTTGATTTTAGTTTACCTACAGAAGTAGCAAACTGAGGGACCTGAACTGGAGCTATTAGCAAAGCTCAACGTAAGCACCAGAGCTCCCCCAAGCACCAGAGCTTTCTCATCAGGAAAGCCAATGTGAAAAGCTTCATGAGACTGAGCAGTGAACCATCTTCACCTCCATAATACTAATTGAGTAAAAGGTAAGTCAGCAAGCAAGGACTCCTAAATCCAAGGCAAGTGAACTGAAAACCATCAATCCCTTGCCTCCTAGAAGTCGTCTCTCCATAGCATTTCCCGGCAAAGCCTGCCTACACCAAAGTGAATTTAAGAATGTGGAGAACTTTCCAGCAGACACTTTGAAGAGGTTCACTGACCAGAGAGAGTAAGTTACAATATATAGTAACAAATCTATAAAACTATGATCCACAAAGGTTGAGAAGTATACAGTGATGCAGGTGACAGCATGTTTACCTACAGAAGTAGTTTTTCTAAAAATGCTGGAGCTCACTATCTTAGAATCCAAAACACATGCTCTTAAGGATAACTTTTCATTCCTAACAGCTTGTGTGCTTTACTCTTCGATCTACGATATTCTTTGGTCAAGATCTAGATATAAATCTGACAGATACAATACAGATAAATGCCAGATAAAATAATTGAGAGTGCTGGATTTTATTGCTCATTATGACAACTGTATTGAACCAGAACCATGGTTTTCCTTTTTCTTTCATGTATGCTTTACAAGATGTGATATATTTGCTTTTTCAAACAAAACCTCATGTGAAAATCATAAACAAGTAGAATCAAAGGGAGCTCTTTCAGTTGTGGAGAGAAGAGTAAATTACCTGGGACCTTATTCTCCCTCACCCAAAAAGAACCTTTTATTACTCCATGCTTTAGCCCTGAGAGGAGACAGAAAGCCAGAAAGCTGGGGAAAAGAACTTCAGTGTTAATTTCCATTATTGGCCTCTACTATTTAAGGTCTTTTCATTTTATGTGCTCTACTAAAGCAAAATGTGCACTGTCTCAGTTAGTCTTCTCTTGTTGCTGGGACAAAATACCCAACACCCAAAATTAAGGAAGTGTTTTTGCAAGGTGAACAATATAGTACAGGACATGTTTTATAATAGCATTTTATAATGAATTACCCAAAAATCACATACTACAAGTGCAGGAAATCTATCCACACACTAAATACTAAAGAACCCAGCTGAGGGCATAAAGCCTCCCATAGGTCCAACTGGAGGCCTAGAGCCCACAACAAAGCCGCGTGCAGTCCCGCTTCACAGATCTGTGCTGGCATGATCCAAAGGTTACTCACTGGTGGAGGCTAGGAAGTCTATGCCAGTGGGATGAAGGATCTGTGCCAGCAAGCTGAGGAATCTGAACTAGAGCTATTAGCAAAGCTCAACATAAGCACCAGAGCTCCCCCAAGCACCAGAGCTTTCTCATCAGGAAAGCCAATGTGAAAAGTTTCATGAGGCTGAGCAGTGAACCATCTTCACCTCTGGAGCCAGGAATTGATGCTTAAGATGAGGACTGAAGCTTCTCCAAAGTTCATTGGGAAAGCCAATATGACAAGGTCCTCCTGCAGAACAGCCCAAGAGAACTAACAGCTTCCAATAGCTCCAACAGCTCCAACAGCTTCTCCAAACAGCATCCCTAACAGTGTTTCAGCAGCTTCTCCTGTTCTGCCTTTATGCTGCTGGCAACAATCCTCAGGTTGGCCTCCTGCACCCAGTACCACGTTAGTTTAATTTAGCTGGGTATAGTAAGTTCACCACCTGTTAGAAATCCATTACAAGAAGGAAAGGTTTATTTAGCTCACAGTTAATGGAGGTTTCAGTCCATACTCAGCTGGCGCCAAGGCAGAGTGGCACATGGCCGAGGCCAGCCATTCATGGGGGTGGAAAACAGCAAAGAGCAAAGGGAAGAGACCAAGCTGCCACCGCTAGCAACCTTCTCTCCCCTCCTTACACTTGTATGCAGATTATCTGCCCTAGGGCAAGTGTATCATGCCCATAATCCCCGCACTGGATCAAAAATTAGTCACAGACTAGAAGCTACCACATGACTGCATGAGGCTTTGGGGGGACAACTAGACACAAACCATAACATGCGCAGAGAGCTCTACATCTAACTACACCAGTAGCTTCTAAAGTAATTTACTCTGGAGACAAGAACAGTGCAATAGCAGTTATTTATTACAATTGGAATTGAGAATACTAACATTTGCAATGTCTTTTCTGATGCTCTGAGTACAAGAGACTAGGTCTGCACTGTGATAAATGGTGGCCTCTACAGCAGTGATCCTAAAGGAGACGGAGGAAGAACGGAGAAGGGAAGACCCCCCCCCCCCTTGCTCTTGGGAACCTTGATTCCTATCCCCGTAGAGATGTTACATAAAAGGCTCTCTGGGTGAAACGGTGCTACCGTCCCTGCTAACAGGTCTATTATTGGCCAGGCACACTGACTTCTCAAGGCTGACCGAGGAGTCTTAGAAGTCCAAGCACATCTGTGCTCACCAGTTCAGCTGTGTACTCGCCCAAGTCTGCTGTGTTTACCTTCACATTTGCTACGGCAGTTTTACTGCTTAGGCAATAATCTAATTATTAACCATATATAATAAGAGTACAGAAATAAATTCAGCAAACTCTTGAAAATGACTGGAAAAGGTGGTCGCAAACCATCGCTTTCTATTGAGGTGGATGTCACAATGTTACACAAGGATTCTGTAACCAAATTACTTCGTAAGCTTAATTTCTTGATTCACTTTAAGGAAATAAACTGCAAATCAAATACTTTCAGATTATGAACAACAACAACAAAAAACTATAGTAGTGTAATCGGCATAAGCCAGGCTCAAAAAATAAGCTAATCAAAACCTAACAACTAAATGCACAGTTACATATTTTAAGGTAAAGCAAAATGGTAAAAGCAGAGATGTTTTAATAATTAGCTCACTGTACAATGTTTAAATTACACTGTAAAATCACAATGCACAGTTGTATATGTCTATGGAGTGTGGGCTAGTTAAACTTGATTGTCAGAATTAAGAGACTCCTGGAGAGGTGCCTGGATCATGGGGACAAAACCTCATCAATGGTGATGACTTCATAACTGAAGAGACCATTAGGAGGCAGAGTCTACTTGGAGGAGTGGGTCACAGGGAATGACCCTGGGGACTCTATCTGGTTCCCGGCCCCCTTTTTCTCTGGCTCTTCCTTGCCTGGTCTGGTTCCTGGCCACCATGAAATGAGAAGTAACTCTATCTCACTCTTCCACCATGTGGGTTCTGCGTTGGAGATAGTCCGTCATGGACTGAGACCCCTGAAACCTCAAGCCAATGGAAACCTTTCCTCCTTCAAGATGCGAGAGTCAGAAATTTTTGCCCAGCAATGGAAAAGCTGACCAGCATACACTACAAAGTGATACTATAACTTATGAATGTAATGTGGAATAAATATAATATATCACCTCAAACATTTAGCTTTTTTCAATTTACTTTCCCAATTATTTTGAAATATATAAAATGTTATTAACTATGTTTACCATACCATATTGTGGAGCTCAAAATTTTTTTTCTTTATAATTTGTTTCTTTTGACCACTAGCTACCTATCCTTTACAACCTCGATCCTCTATAACCACCATTCCACTCTTTGCTTCTATAAATCGTTTTAGATTCCACATGTAAGTAAGAACATAAACTGTTTTCTGTGCCTGACTTATTTTGCTTAGCATAATGCCCCCAATTTTATTCATGTTGTTAAAAAGGACAGAATTGTGTTCTTTTTAAAGGCTGAACAGTATGCTAGTATGTTCCCTACTTTATCTATTCATCCGCTGATGAACACTTGCGCTGATTCTATGTCTTGCTATTGTGAAGAGTTCTGCAATGGACATGGGCAGTAGACATCTCTTAAATATACCAATTTCAAGTCTTTTGGGGAAATATCTGAAGTGCGATGGCTGCACCACATGGTGGTTCTGTTTTTACTTTTTTGAGAAACATTCACATTCCCAGTGACTTCTTTTTATTAAACAACAACCAGTACCACTTGTTGATAAGGAATCTTCTGTTTTACATATAGTTCTTTTTAATCTTCGTTTATATGGCAAATTTTCTACTTGATCAATTTTAAAACTAGAAGACCTTCTCATATATTAGGCAAATCAAAATACAGTACATGTAAGGCAGTTAACAGCTATAAAAGCTCAACGTACCTCATGTTCTAAAAACAGAGCTTTCAGTTGTCCTTTGGACCAAAAATCCATGGCATATGCTAGCAGCTTCATGGAGACCATATTAATTCTAAGGAAATTCCCAACAAACACAACTCTGTCAATATTCTGAAAAAGAAGTTAAAGGAAAACAAATGAATGCAGCACAGAAGTAATATTTAGCAAAGACCAAATGTCCTGTATGTCTTTGCACAGTGAGTTTTTAAGTGCAATTATTTCAACTTCTTCACAGTGAAGCTGAACAACCCCCACAGTACATTCCACAAGTACTGGAGTGAGATTTTGGTTGGGCAAAGCAGAAACAAATATTGGTCTTTCTTGCAGCTGTTATGTCAGATTGCATTAGTTCTTGTGTGAAACTCAGCTTCCCACACATAAGTGAAGTTCAAGTTTCAGCTGAATTTTCTTGTATATTACCTTAATTTCTCACCCATCCAAGTACAAAATATCATTATAACTAACTCATAAATGAAATGGTGATGGCCTGGTTCATTCCTCTAATGAGTTTGCTCTGTGCTGAATACTGAGAATATAAAGCAGAAACAATAGTCTCTCTCTGCCCCCAGGATATATGGTGAAACATCCTGTTTAGTCAACGTGTGGGTTAAAGTATGATAACACAGCCAGGTGTGGTGGTGCACACCTGTGCTCCCAGCACTTGGGAGGCTGAGGAAGGAGAATCACCACAAGGCTGAGGCCAGCCTGGGCTATGCAGTGAGTTTGAGCACAGCCTAAACTACACAGCAAGACCCTACCTCAAAAAAAAAAAAAAGAAAAAAATAATAATAATAACACAATACACGCGTATTTTTGTCACCACAGATAGATTCACACTCTTAACACACATTTAGGAACATTCTTTTTCTGTCCTGTCCAAGCAGGCTGCCTTCAGACTCCCAAGTTCCACCCCCAGGGTACTTTCATTCGGCCCACGGCACTTCCCCCTGCTTGAGGTATTTGTTCAGCTGAAGACTGCGCTCAGCTTACAGACCTTGCAGAGGCTGCACGGCAGCACTCAGGAAGGCGCAGGAGTTACGCTCACTCAGCAGAGGCAAGTGGAGGCGTTATTTCTGCTCAGTCTAGGGGAAGTAATCAGGGTCTGGGAACAGCACCTTTTAACTCTTACAGATTTTAACAATGCATGTTTATGAGGTCATTAGCAGCTGAAAATTTTCCAGGGGTTAAGGGGTCAAGGGTGGACTTAATAAGTTCCCTTAAGGGAAGAACTGTAGCAACAAACTGCCCATACTGATAGGTGGAAAGAAACATTCAAATAAAAGGAACAGAGGGGAACTGTATTAAATTTAGGGGGTGCAAGGTAGGGCTTGCTATATTACCACGAGACAAAGGCAAAAAGAGTAAAGGTGGCATTAAAAGCGGATCAACATTGTGTATTGCAAATAAGTTCTAGATGGGTCAAAAAACAATGTATAAAAAGAAGACAGACAGACACAGACACATACACACACACACACACACACACACACACACACACACACGCAGAGGCAGAGACATAGAGAGAAGACAGACACACAGAGAAAGAGTGTGTGTGAGAGAAAGTAGAAGGACCAAAAGAAAAAAAGGCTAATGGAAAACATGAAAAAATTGAAAATAATTTACCTTTTTTTTTCAGTGGTACTGGGGGATCAAACTCAGGACCTTATGCTTGCTAAGCAGGCACTTAAGCCACTGAGCTATTTCCCCAGCCCAAAAATTAAAAATAATTCAAATAGAAGTATAATGTTCAATGTTCATTAAAAATTGGTCTATTTACTTGAAAACAATCAGACACTTATTCAGGGGGAAAATTACCACAAACAAATACAAACAGTAAACAACAAATGGGAAATATTCTTAGTATATATCATATAAAATGGACTTATCTAATTAATATTTCCTACAGTAAGGAAATAAACAGAGAAATGGGTGAATAATATTAACAGAATGGTTATGTGTACATAAAAGGGGAAATACTAATGGCTATTAAATACAGGAAAATGTTTACCTTATAATGAAGTACCCATTAAGCTTGAAAAGATGAAAAACTTGATAACCTTTGGAGGAATTTGTATTTTTAAACTCTGATGGGTGGAAATATAAATTACAACCACCTTTATGGAAGGAATTTTATAGCATTTACTAAAATAACTATCAACATATTCTTTTGAGTCAGCAATTTCCTTTCTGGGAGTTTATCTTATATAGGCATGACTTGTATACCAAGTTGTGTTTGTATATACATACGTGTGTCTATGTGTACACTATACGTAAACATTCTGTGCACTCTGGAAAGGAGGGAAGTTACTGAAATAGGGTCTTGCTGTGTACTTCAGGCTGCACTTGAAGTTACTAGGTACCCTCAGCTGGCCTTGAACTTTCAGAGATCCTCTTCCTTTAACCTCCTGACTGCTGGGATTACAGGCATGTGCCACCAAGCTCGACTTTGCAAGCTTTATAGTAGTGGTACAATCGAAAAAATGAAATCTCATTAGAAAAACAAATCAAACAGCATATCTGTATGTTAAAACAGCGTAATTTAAAATATACTGATATGAACAAGTTAAAGACACGTTATTTAGAAAAGCAAGAGATAATATTTTCAGAGTTGCCTACAAATACATATAGACTGATATATTATCTGGAATTTGCTTTCTGATAGTTTAGCAGAAAACAAGAGCAGAAGGAAGAATAAAACAGTTAAAGCTTGTATAACAAAGTCTTGACAACTGTTGAGTCAGAACTGATGGATTAATGGAGGTTCCTTAAGCTATTTTCTCTCCTATAGGTATGTTTACTGATTTTCCCAAGAAAAAGCTGATAAGAAAGATGCAGAATAGCAGATAGAGGGTGAACTGCATGGTTTGTGATTATATCTCAGTAAAGATGTTATTTGAAAAAATGTTATGTAAATTTCACTACTTTGGGAAGGGCATATTAATGGAATTACAGGCATGTAATATTAATTATTAATCTTATATATAATAAAGGGTTAAAAACTAAAAAAAAAAAAAAACTAGGGTTGCCTGTATCTAGTGAGGTTCTTCCTGAGGTACAGGGTGAAAATGAGGACGCATGCCCCTCTTGGCCTTTGTGCTGTCTTTAGAACTCTGCATTACACATCTATATTTTCTGTTCAGAAATATAAACAAGAAAACGTGAAGTTGATGAGGAAGTACTTCATAGTATTTTAATCATCAGACTCAAATGTTTTGATGTGGTGCTGTTAAACACGGTGCCACCCTCTGGGAAATGACTAGAATTGAAGATTCTCAAGTCCACAACCTCAGAGAGCAATCAAGGACTAAAATCCTTGGCTCCTGTTCTCACAGGAAAATTTGATGCTGTGTCACTGATATGTCCCCTGCAAGCCCAGGCAGGCTGAACACCCTCTGAGGAAGCCTTAGCCCCAAGGGAATACATGGAGTCCCTTTATTCATTCAACTCTACAGACACATCTAAAGTTGTTTGTTGCTCACACCAGTATCTAACTTGACTTTATTTCCAAATAGTAAAAAATAGTCAGTAGTTGGCTCTTGAAGGGACTAATGAAACCTGTGAAGAGACCTGCTTGCTCACTCCAGCCACGAATGCAAGGCCAAAGGTAGGCTCTGTAGCAAATAGGGGAAAGGGCATCTATTGCTCTGTGGAGCAAGGGGTATCACCATGGAACTGACCTTTGAGAGCGCATGAGCACAGCCAGCTTCAGTCCTACAGCTCATTTGGCTACCAGGAGAAACACTCTTCAAGGGTGAATTCCAAAAAAATAAACCCTCTGTTACAATGAATCTCATGACCAAAGTGGACTTTGAAAAGGCAGTCTCTGAAGTACTTTTACTTGAATATCAGCCTCCCACTTAAGCTGCATCTGAACTAGGGATGTCCAAAAATGCAGGACCCTACTGCATGTGTTATAAAAGATATCTCTTTTGTAATCTCAAAGCTCACAAGCAGGGCTTGCATCCACCCCTCTAAAAAATGCCTGGTACCCTGACACTCCACTATTCAACTGGGTTCTTCAAGAGGCCCCTTAAAAAAAAAAAAAAAGAGGCCCCTTGAAGGAGTTTCTACGTGTCCAAAATGTTCTACTTCTTGATCCGAGATGTGTGTCTGGGAAAATTCACTGTGTTAAGCAATTATGATTTTAGTTGTCTTCTATATGTATGTCATATTTCTATTAAAATTGTGTATTTCAAAAATCCATTGCTGACCTGCTACCATGGTTCTTTAATATTTTTCCTATTTTTTATTCCATGTTCCATCTTTCTTTTCTTGCTCTCCTAGCACAAGTCGGTAAAGAGAGTTGTTCTATTTTGTAAGTCGTATTATTCAGAGAAGAGGTCCATTTTCTCAAAAGAAATTTTGCAATACTTTAAAGTATGTTAGTAAGACTTTCTCTGTCACCAACCCCACACCTTCTTGTGCCTGGGGCTCGGAGTAGCCTTGGCTGTTGCAAGCTCTCTGTGCTTTGATAGCCCTGTACAATGCTGCTTGAACTCCATGCCACAAGGCAACACTGTAAAGAAGCTGAAAGCAAAGAGAATGTCAAATATTGTCAGTGGAAGCATTTAGTTTACAATTATCTGCAAGGATAGTGAGAGCATTTGCTCACGTTAAGGGGTACAGAGCAGTGAGGAGCATTAGAGAAGTTATGGCATGGGTTGTCATTTTACCATATTTCCAGAGCTGGATCATTTATCATATATCATCCTGTGTCTATTTAAAAATAAAACACATACAACACGTGTCCCTCCCATTCTGTAAAATGTGATTATATAGTAAAGTGTAGGTTTTGCACGGATAGAAGTATGGTTTTGTAATGGTCAACAGTTATCACACTGCCAAAACCAACATGTAGGAGTGACACATGGCCTTCCCGGGTCAACCTTACCTCATTCAGCGCACACATCCGAGCAATGGAGCCGATGTTGTTAGTGATGGTGACCAGTGTGGCCCGGGCAAGGTCTTCCTTGCTGATCGACTCTCGTTTTTCTTTACTCATCATGTTGCCAAAGCTATGTTGGAAATATCAGTGAGAGTATTCAAAATCATCTTCCCATGCTTCTACCATGGTACTGTGAAAAGCTCTGAATAACTGTTCAAACTCAAGAGACCTGATATTTGCTACCACAATTCATAAGCAGACAGAAATATAGTATGAATGCCTAGCGGTCCCCTTTCTTAGCAGGGACAAATAATATGGCTATTAATGGGGGTGGGAGGACTTTGTAATGCCTGTAGACATCTGGTTAAAAATGGAACAGGGGCAACTGTTGTAGTTTTCCAGACCTTCTTTCGAAGTTGCCTTATTTTAAGCACAAACACAAGAGCAAAATAATCTCAGTGCTTCATAAAGGACAGGAGATCAAGTCTGAGATCTGATATGATAGATACTTGCACCACACTCATTGGTTGAAACTTTTAGTAAGCACTAAATGGATGGCCTATGTGGAAAGGCTGCTCTAAGTTTAATCACTGCTGCTCCTAGCTGCTTAATCTCTACCTTGATGCTACAGCAGATCCTTGAAGGCCAAATCGTTCATAGTCTCCTCCGTAAATGTCCTTCACCAGCTTATCGACATTGGTGCTGTCGCCTTTAGCTGCCATTTCCAGAGCTTCTTCAAAGGTCTCACAACCAGTCAGCAAGCAACATAGGCCTAGGAATGTTCCACCTCCAAGACTGAAGGAACAATAAGGTTTATTTTTTTAATTTTATTTTAAGCTATACCCATACAAGCCCCCAGCTACATTAAGACTAATATGCGTTAAGAAAAATAGAAGAAAAACTAAGGGGCACTTGAATGAAAGTGCTAGAATGCAAAAGAGCTTTATGATAGATTCGGTAAGAGGGCAGAAACTAAAATATCAAAGCAAACTTGCCCCTAAATTTGAAAACAAAACTAGAGAAACACTCTCACTGATTGTGAGACCTTCAACTAGCCACTAACCTAAACACTTCATTCCGTCTTCTACCTATAAAACAGCCAAATCATGATCTCTTGTATTTGGGTAGTCTGAAAGCAGCAAATAACTAGAGCAACAACTGATATTTTACAAATGTGTACATAAACACCAATACCCAGAAAAATAGTGTGACCATAGTTCACAACTATGAAGCCAAACTTTTTGGTGACCAAATGGAACCAGGATGCTGCCAGTAGCAACCAGCACAGGGGCAGTCTTCCGTTTGACTTTGCTTGAGCTTATGCATGACTCCCTCATTCCACCTCCTCAGAAATGATGAACAATGATGTTGGGAGTTTTTTTCTAGTAAACTTTGGAAAATTTACTGGTATTTTACTTATAACCCAAGAGTAAAAAATAGTAACAAAGATCACAAAATGATTCCAATCCTTTATGTCTTAAAATCCTTCAATTATTTTAGAAAAAACTCCTTTAGAATAGTCATTTCAGACAAAATTACAAACTATAGCAGTTAAGAATCAATTCAATTGTGTGTTAGTATCAAAGTTACCTAATAAAATGACAAACAGACTCAAGGGAAACCTACCACCAGGGGAATCAGAAGGAAAGGAACTCTCCTAAACCAGAACACAGGTTTGAGCTTTTGCTTACCAAGTGGAAGAATAAACATAAGAAATTTGCTTATATCATTTGGCTCTGAAAGTCCCAAAGAACTTCTAGCTCTGGGAACCCAATTTGCTTTTGGGTGTTGGCTTTTAGTTCTAAGAAAAAAAATCAACTAAAATTAGAAATAAGAAAATTAATGGAAAATGGTGTTTATTGCTAGTAAATGTTAATAAGAAAGTATTAGATTGTAGATAAACATGCATATAGTTCTCTAAGTTGCATCTATAAAAGCATGTAATAGGTTTTAAATCATGTTTTTTATTGAAATATTTCCTTAGGCTGGGATATACCTCAGTGGCAGACCACCTGCCCAGCATGTGCAAATCCCTTGGTTTGATCCCCAACACAGCAAACACAAAACAAAACAAACAGTCTTTAATTGAAATTATGGGTTCTTGGAAAATTATATAGCTAGCCGTGATCAGGGACAGTTATCCAAATTGTGGCTACAGTGCCATGAGGAACAAAGAACTCTGCCTAAGATCTTAGAGTCAAATTTAGTCACACTGGGAAGTCTGGATTTCTTATAAGAAAGCTTATCTTTACACTTAATATAGCATACTATGCTACCTCACAAAGATAAGCACAGGCATCATTTTTAGTGTGTGTGGTACTGGAGATTTTACCCAGTGCCTGCCACATTCTTCCTATGCACTCTGTCACTAACTTACGTCTCCAGCCCTGCTAGTGTTTTAATTAATGAAACTAACATTTGGCTTGTGTGCTACCCAGATTTGTTTTGTTTTCTCCCTGTATATATTTTTTAAATGTCTTTGTTTACATTTGTAGCTTCTCAGTACCCTCTATTTCTAATAATCTTTCTTTGAACAATAGGGATTCATCTTTTTTTTTTTTTTTAATGTGTTTTGTACAGGGTCTCACTACACAAATTGGACTCGTAGTGATCCTCCTGTTTTCAGCCTCCCAAGCGCTGGGATTACAGGTGTGTGCCACCACGCCCAGTCTCAATCCCCGTCACAGTGCACCCTGGGGACAGGGCTGGCATGGGATTCATCTTAAGTTATTCAACAATCTACTCGAAATGTGGGCCACTGAAGATACTGGCTGACTCAGAAAGAAGGTAACTCATCAACTGATGTGTTGGTACAGTGAAAAGAGGCAAGTACGACTCGAAAATGACACATGACTCCAGATAAAGAGCTGAATGGGAAAAGCAAGCATGCGTTAACACAGCTGAGACACTGCAAATAGCAGGGAAGAATGCAAGGTCACAGAACAGCCAAGAGTCTCCCAGCACTTTTATTAATATCTCCAACTTGATAATCATTATTTAATCAAATGAGCTCCTACTCACAATCAGACACATATGTTTGTTTTGTCAGATACAGTAAAACCCTCAATATACAAGAGATAAAAATATACTTCCAGAAAAAGCCACTGAGTATTATTGCTACTTGTCATGATAATTTAGGAAGTAGAAGAAATCTTCAATTACTCATTTTCCTAATTGTTGAGAATTGCAGAACACTGACCATTGATGATTGTGCCTTGAAAATGAATGCAAATGATCTAATGTACTGCTACTTTCATTAAAGTTTCAAAGTTGTTATATTCCTCTTTTGATGGACTGACTATACCTCCTAACAACGTCAGCTGTAAAGCAGTATTTTTTCTGTTGGATTCCATACTATTTAGGGTGTCACTAAAAAAAAAAAAACAAAAAACTACGTTGCTAACCAATCTGGAATACAACAAAATTACATATAAGCAGATTTTTAAAAATCATGCTTTAAAGAAATGATATCTTCTAATAACATAATGGGAAAATACAGTATAATTCAGTAACAAAAATCTGCAGCTATAAACTATGTTATGTCCTTAGAGGAATGATTGCCAAAGTATATTTTGCACATTGATGTGACCATAATAATTTATATCTTAGATTTTAAAACTTGAAACAAAGGAAGTCTTTGGCAGAACAACTCTGGTAAGAACAGGATCAGGGGCTCCATTGACTTTAGGCCTCTTTCCCATCTACTATCTGTGGCAGACCTGAGAGGCACCTATTACCCTTCAGACTCCTCCTGCAGCAGGTTTCCAGATCCACGGTTGGAAGAAAGAGTTTACAAGGAAGACTGTGCATCCAGACAGGATTCGCTGATTGCAGAATGCATGTCATTGATTAGCACTTAGCAATAGCACTTAGAATTTACAGGTATTACTACCTGTGTAAAAGAAGTCAAACACTGCAATGGCTCCTTAGCAGCTATTGAAGAGGACCCAGATCCCTACACTTCCCACGTCTGAGAAAGTATATGTGTGGAATTTACCAATAATACTGTAAGTATTTGTAATTGTGGAAAATGTTTAGCTTGTTGTTCCTTTAACAGTTCAATTACTCTCTCTGGGAGAAAGCTTGAAATTTCTTTAAAATTTTACCTTTACAATGAGATCAATCGCTAAGGTAAAACCAGCTCAGCTAAAACGTTCCTGTCTGTTATTCTCCTGACAGTTCTAATGTGGGCACAGGGTCAGTTTTGTCTGAGCATGTGAGCAAGTCCATAAGCTTTTGTATTCTCAGTGAGAAATAACTGACACTACAGAGCCCACACTCTGCAGTCAAGCAAGTTTCAGTCAGTGTGTGTGTGCGCACGCACACGCGCGCGCGTGCACATGCGTGCAGGTACACACATGCAAACCGTGATTTTTCAACAGCAGCAAATGATAATTTGTTGTTGTTGTGGGATATTAGTAGTATACATGACTTCATGAAACCTAGTATCCACCACCTCCTTCAGTGGTGACAACCAAAAAATATCTCCAGAGGTCATGAAAAACAATAGGAAAACCAAGCCACCTTCTAATGGGGGAGCAGTACTGCAGAATTTGAGTTCTAGGAAAGTTATAGGAACCATCTAAACAATAGCCTTCATGGTAGGAATGAGGATAATGAAACCCAAAGACATAAGGTATCTATCAAAAACAATGGTTTCAATATCACGTCCCAAGCATAGCCTACATGGCACTGTTTCCTAAGCTATACCCCTAAAAATGGGTTGTGTGGCCTAGTAAGGTAGAGAAATGTGTCGCAAGAGAACCTGTTTAGTTTTGCTTACACTCTGGCTTCTCAGAGATACTTGCTGGCAGAGCCTCTTTCCATGTTGAATCCCCATGAACAGAAGGCTGAACCTGTTTGGCCCTCAGGTATATGTAATAAAAAAAAAATAAAAAAATTCTGAAAAGCAGTGGTTATAGGGCTGTCTTCTGGTCTGCTGTACCCCAAAATTCCCTATGTATTGTGCTTATTATTCCAGTTTTCAGCTAAAGGAAACCTGAAGAGAAAATACATTCCTTATAAACCTTGTTTCATTTGGTGTTTGGAATGGTGTAGTAATTCAAGCAATTCATCCAGTGCTAAGCACCACTGAAGTTTAAAAGATGGTTTTTCCCAAGTTTTGTTTGACCATACCAAGCACCCTTCTTTTGGGCTTCTACTGGACTTACTGTCCTTACCATTTCACTGGCACTTAATGCAAATCACTATGTTGGTAAACTTCCAATGCACACAAAGCTGCTTCTTCCCTTGACCCACCCACAATTTACAGAAAGGCAAGAACTATGTTTTATATAAATCGCCCTCTTACTCTTTTAACATATCATCCAATAAATCCCTTGTGGTTTGTGGAGAACCATCTAAACAATAGGAGGTTTTTTTTTTTTTTTTTTTTTTTTTTTAATAGTATATATAGTGTTTTACTATACACTGGTTATTGAGGAGGGGTCTGGATTTAAGCATAAAGAGGCTCATCTAGCAAAAAATATGTTTACCTGGTCCCTGTAACTCTTTTATAGTTGTCCTTGGAGTACACTGCTAAAATGCTGACACCTGATCCCATGTTAACCAGCAACATAGGGTATGGGTTATCAAGGCAGTATGGCTTTTTCTGACACAACTCGGGATTTGTGGGATTTTCAAAATAGTAGCATTCTGGTTTGCCATTGAAGCCAACAGAGTCAACATAAAGTAGACCCTGAATCAGACAGTCCAGTTCATCCAGTTTATGGAGCTGCAGGTCAGCAATCTGAAAGAGAATAAAGCCTTGTGAGATGCTGAGACCACCTTGGGGGAAGCCCTAGAGATCTTAGCTGGACTTAGCATTGGCTCATTTGTTTTAAAAGCATGAAAACATGCAGGCTATCAAGTCCTGCTGATAATGTGAGTCCCATGGGAAAGGAGCTGTGTTACAGTACAGTAACTTGCCTGGTTGCTGGAAAAGGAACCTTTAGTAGGTGTAGGGGGTTGAATGGGGGCCCCTGTCTGTCCTATAATTCTTAGAACATGAGAATGTGACCTTATTTGGAAAAAGTGTTTTTGCAGATATAATTAAAACTTTGAAGAAGCCATCCTAGCTCATCTGGGGGGACAGTGAATCTGATGACAGGAATCTTTACAAAGACATACAAGAAAGATAGAAAAGACACAGCGGCAAAGGCTACATGGAGATGAAGGCAGAGACTGCAGCTAGTAACACTGGAGCTGGAGAAGGCAAGGGAGGAGGCTCTCCAGAGTCGCAGAAGAAGTACAATGCTTTGACTCTACACTCTGATGTTGAGAACTATGAGTAAATATACTTTTGTTATTTTAAGCCACTAAATTTGTGGTAAGCTGCTATAGCATCTGCAGAAATTAATACAGTATGCTACAAAGAGGGGGCTGTCTCACTAGGTCAGTAGTATAAGAATATTCAGAAAAGAATGAAAATGTACACACTTCCTTGACAGAGCATAGGGTCTTGAAGGCCTGGGAACTGGAAAGAATCTTCTTTTAGCTGTCTACCTTTTCCCCAAAGTTGGGCTTTAGAGTTAGACAGATCTGGCTTTAAATTATAGCTCTAAAACTTACTTAACTGAAGAATTCAAGTTGAGTTATTTAACTTCTCAAACCAGTTACTCATCTGTAAAATGGAAATAATAATATTCCCTGAATAATACTGCAGTAAAGATTAAGGACTATGTGCTAATAATATACATGAAATGCTCGCATAGGGCCTGGCATGTACAAAGGGCTTACTGGTAGGGGTGGCCTAAGAGTGTCTTCACAGGCTCTCATGAGATTAAAAAACTTCCAGTTTCTTATATACAGGGAAAAAAAGTAACAGGAAATAAACTGGTTATAGGCTAGCTTTAGAGGCCAATAACCACTCCACATCCTCAAAACTATAATTCATGGCCTTGAAGAATAATATACCACTCACCATGTTCTGTGGACCAGGATACAACAATAATAAAACAACTCCTATAACAGCTAAGAACTAAACTAAATATCACCAACATGAAACTCAACCAGTAAAAGAAGATGTCATGTAATTTCTCACAAAAATCTTGTAAGTCAAAAGCACTAACCTTGTTCTGTGGTTCAAGTTCACAGAGAGTAAATAACTTGCTAAATGACCTAGCAAATATCTCCCAGTGATTCCCTATTCTGTTGTCTTCCTTGCCATAACGGGTATTGTTCCTGAGATCTGGAAACAATTCACACAAGTACTAGACTTAGACATTGTGCCAAAAAGACTACACTATCTTCATTACAAAAGTTAACAACTAGAAGAAAACTTTTGATTTTGTGCCACTCGTCTGAATTTCCTATTTAACAAATTGATTGAAAATACTTGCAAAACAAATTAGTTAGAATAGGTAACCAGTGGTAGGTAACCAGCCAGGTGGTAGAAGTATTTATAACACATAGAAATATAGTAAAAGAATTGTATAAATGACTCCAAGTATTTCATTTTTTATCTAGTGAACCATTTGGATGAAATAATATAATTGCACATATTTTAAGAGGTCAATGCTGTAGGTATAAAAATAACTAAAGACCTGAAAGGCTATCAGCATAACAGGATAAATACTATCTCTTTGATTCCATAGTCTTTATTGCACTTCTAACATTCTTCACAATCTGGCTTGTTTTTTTAGTCCACCAGGTGCCTGTCAGTGCCATACTCAAATACCTACCTCTTAACCATTACTTCATAAATATTTATTAAATAGAATGGGGAAAGATATCACTTCATGGATGACCCCAAGTTGAAAAGTAGAGATTTCATCAGCCAGTCCCGAGACCACAGGTTAACCTGCTTAAAAATTAATCAGAGGTTCAACAACACTGACTGCCAAGCCCAGAACTAATATTATAAACATCAACAGAGACACAGTCTGTCCATCCGAGAAGACTGAATCTACATTGTGGAAAAAGAAAAACCTGTTAAAGCAAATAAAGTAAGCGCATACAACTTTGATCTCACCTTTCACCTCAAAATTATTTTCAAATAAAGTGATAGTAGCAGACAAACATCTCCTCTACATGTTTCACTGAGGAATGGACATTTCTGGAGCATGTTTCCCCCTTGTTTAAAGTGGAAACAAAGACATTGGTTACTTTCATGGAGACCTATAGGAAGAAGAACAGGTTTCTAGGCATGCATAATTAGTCAAACTGCTACCTGGATTTTTAAACAGGCCACATGAATTCCAAGAAAGTTGTGAATTAATCACCAGATCTTGTAGTTTGTTAATAAACCTGAATTAACTTTGTAGAAAACTTAAAGAAGCAGCTAATAGTCTAGCTAAGGAGAAACACTATATTTGGTACACATTTTTTAAAATTAGGGGTCACAAATGCAACTGCCTAAGCAAGACAGTAAGAGATATGGAGGAGTGAAGCCCTGATTAGTATGCAAATAAAGGAACAATGGGGACTGTGTCATCAAGACAATGTGCACATAATCACAGCTGATCTCTAGCTCACTGTTGTCATGTGTAATGAGGCCCCACCCTTGTCAGATAATCCTAGTTTTCAAAAATCTGTACTTTAGGAGTCAGAAATGCAGATTTTTATGTGAAATCTTTTAATTTTTAAATGTTGGCAGCAATTTGATAACTTTTATCCACATACTGCGGGTCAAGAATGTGTGTTATTTTATGAGTGTTTGCTAAGTTTTGAATATTGTTTGTCACTCAAAGATCCATGTGTTAAGAGTGCAGTCCTTAGTGTGGAGATACAGGAGTTATAAGTGTTCAGAGGACCTTAGGTATTGTGCATGCTACCTTCAGAAGTATATGCTGGTCTCCTGGTCTTGGGAGTGAGATGTTATAAAAGACTGGCCCTGACCCCTGGGTCTTTCTCATACTTTGAGATGTGATACCACTCTGCACCTGCACCCAGCATCTGCCAACGGGGCCTCTCTAGAACCTGCACCATGCTATTTGACTTTCAGCCTTTAAAACTGTAAGTAAAATAAACTTTTCTTATACAGTTAGGCTGATTATGATGATCAATCTTGATCGTCAACTTGATCAGCTTGAGAGATGCCTAGAAAATTAGTAAAGCACACTTCTGCGCAGGTCACAGAGTGCACAGGTCATGGGAGCATTGCCTGTGCACCTTGGCTGGTCTCTGGCTCTTTTCTCTCTAGGTCCTCCTGCTCCCTGTGCTCCCCAGATGTCATGAATTGAGCAGCTTTCCTTCATCATGTCCTTCTGCTATAATGTTTCTGCCCTGGAATCAGCTGACCACTGAGTGAACTCTCTGAAACTGTGAAGCAAAATAAACTCTTCCTTTCCTAAACTGTTTTCCTCAAGTATTTAAACTCAATGGCGAAAATCTGACTAATACAGAAAACTGGTACCAAGAATGGGGCTGTTGTTGTAATTGTACCTAACCATGTAGTCAGAAGCCTCTGAAACTGATTTGCAGGAAGTTTGGAAAGGTTTGGAGATGTCAGCTAGTAAAGGTCTAGAAGAATGCAAGCAGAGACTTGTAGGTTCTTCTGGTGAGGACTCAGAAGTTCAGAATGTGTGACAGGAATATGCAGAGTAAAGACTGCATGAGATTTCAAGTGGAATGAAGACTCTAGAGGCCATACGTGTTACACTGCATAAAAGATTCTGTTTACGTTTTGTCCATGACCTACAACTTTGTGTGAATCTCAGTTTAAGAGTGACTGATTAATTGATGTGGTATAAAAAATTTCAAAGCAGCCCAGTGTTCAGGCAGTGGCACAAGTACTGTTGACTGCTTTTAACCAAATTTATAGGGAGAATCAGTAGCAAAAAGCAGAATATAAAGATAAAACACAAACAAACAAACAAAATACTTGCAGTCTGACCTGAAAAGAAGTGCTTATAGCCAGGAATGGTGGTGCACACCTGTAATATCAGCACTTGGGAGGCTTGGGGCAGGAGGAGCATGAGTTTGAGGCAGCCTGGATTACATAAGCAAGTTCAAGGCCAACCTACACTGCAATGAAACCTTATCTCAAAGAAAAAAACAGAGCAAGTATAAATTTGGAGCCAAGAAAAATGTGGTTGTTGGAGAAATCAGCATTATTCAAGAGACAGCATAGAAATCAGCAAGGTTCTATCCACTGAAGGCCTCAGATATAAAAGCGTAAATCTTTCATTTGAGAAGAGAGCCTCTGGGTTCCCTGTTGGAGAAGGATCACTAGGGAATTAGTTTCCTGGGATCCATTTAATTTTTATGCTCAGCTGCCTGGCACTCAAAAGCTACTGCAGCCCTGGTTCAAGGGGTGCTAATGACTATTTGCATGAACAATAGACCTTAGCATTATCCCCATGATACTGGCTTCATAGGCAACAGAATGCAAGTGCCACGGGGTCTCAGATTTCAATGGAAGGCCTAAGAGATCCACGTGGTGTGTCACATAGTTAACATGGTCAGGGGCTGGTGAGATGGCTCAGTGGTCTAAAGCACCTACTTAGAACAAGCTGAGCAAAGCACAGGGACCGTGGTTCAATCCCCCAGCACCACATGCCAGCCAGCCCCTGGTGGGCTGAGCTGGCCACAGACACACACACACACACACACACACACACACACACACACAAATAAATAAATTTTAAAAAAAACATGGTCACATGGCTGACAGTAGCCCTTGAAAGGGCAGTTCATGAAGCAATGAGAATAGAAACAAAGCTATAGTAGAGACTCCAGGAAAGTGGAGATGCTAAGAAAATGGAACGTCTACCCAGGTTAGCTGCAGGTAGCAAGCACAGCCAGCCC